AAGTTCTAAAACTCAAAATCAAAAACTTCACGAAGGTAACCACTTTATAATCAAATGTTTAGTGTCATATCACAAACGTAATCGAACATTACTTCGAGTAACTGTGTTGATACCACATAATTCCATGTTTGTTACAAACTTCCACTAAAATGCACTCGCAACTCTGTTTGGTCAAAATTAGTCACTCAATTCCGCTATTATAAATTCTATAATTCTTGATCTACCTTATACCTATTATTTAATATTCCAAAGATATAATTTGTAATTGCATGTTTTTTTTTTATTTCTTCTAAAAATGAGAATATCATAATGACATGCTACTCACGATGTTATATAATAATTCTTTTTAATAAAAACCACAATTTAACTAGGTAACAGTGATTTAAGTTCATTGAGTCAAACTATCCTGAATGACACTAGTCATTCAGTACTAATTGACGCCCTTTCTATTGACACCTCTACCATGTAACTCAAGTACCCTCAAGTGAATATGAGGCACAAGAAAAATACATACGCTAAGACGGAAACACAATACCACTAATTCTCTTTTCTACCTAGACTTCCACCATCTTTACCCGGTTTTAAACATGTATCTACTCCATTTAATGACAGTTAATGTAAAATTATCCACAGAACAATCCACTTTATTCTATGAATCACACCAAATTCTATCACACACAACCTTCACTTCTCGGCCTTTATATCTCATTCCAAAACTCCATATGAAGAATGATTATAAACTCTCACTTATATTCCGATCCTCCGACCAGAGCTTCACCTTTGTCTTCTTTGCCATCAATTAACAAATACCCAAATTCATTCCTTACTCCACCCATGTAAATGTATGCTCCATATAAAAAGTATAATGAATTAGGAGAACTATTTACCAATGGATTTTAAAACGATTCATTCACTGATTCTAGCTAAGTTCACACATCTTACAATGGGAGCTACTTATTCCTGATCACTTCCGACTAAATTTCAATTATGTCTCACCCATGAACTGGATTTATGGGATTTCTATATTAAACAATAATCAAATCTTTAAAATGATTTCTATTACTCAACCTCATTTCTCCAGCTTTGTATTCAATGTTAGAAGATCCTACTATCCATTAAAACACTATATACTAATGGTTTATGGACTAGATGGCAGATTTTTAGAAACTTCGTCTCATTCAAATCCTCATTGTTTGTTTTATTATCATATTTGTTCAATTGATCAAAAGATCTTATTAAGATTTTAGTTCCTTTGTTATTTTAAAAACTAATTAACTAAAACCCGCCTCCATGACAAAATACTAAGCCTATTGGATCTTATGGAGCCATTCTAAGTTTACGCTAGAGCATACATAAATACAGTGTGTATGTAAACCTTTAATGTTGAAACTTTTAGTGGTACAATTTTATGGGGGTCTCTGGGCCCCAAGTGATGAACACACAACAACATATATTCAAGTCAAATATACCAACCTCCAAAAGCATATTGTTATGCCAAAGATCATTGTTTTGTAAGACTCTGTCAGCAGGTCGCAATAGTGACAGGAGGTGTGACTTCAGGAATAATTGTTTTCTTAAACCCCATTATCTTCCACGCAAAACAGGTTTCGAAGTGTACTGTCATCGCGCGTACCCATACATCACAACAGGCAAATGAGAAAAAAACAATATGGTCCTTACCAGTTTATAGGCCAGTTGTAAGTAATCAACATCGAAAACCCCCCCTGGTCAGGCACTTGACCTATAACATTGATGATTATACGGACTTCTTATACAATGTAACTAGTTGTGTCACGCTACGCCTTAGCTGTGCGTATCCCCAGCAATTATAACCTTCATAACCCAAGGTACCAATGTTAATGGGGCCCTAATATCGCCGTAACCCAGGAGGAGAGTCTCAGTTTACAGAGCACAATGTTCCTTTGATGATTGAAAGATGAAAGTGCGAACTAAAAAACTGCAAAAAACCCGCGCTAAATATTGAAAACTATATAGAAAATTTATAATATACATAACCGATAATTATAAGAAAACATTTCTTAGAGCAACTTCAAAAAATATTATTTCTAAGCAGCGTTAATACTAATATAAATAAAAAATTAGATCCTTTTCATGTGGTTTCAACCTTTACAAATTGAATTTGAGAAGATAGCTTGGCAGGTTCCAAAGCATCACAAATTATGGCAATTATCTATCTTATTATATATTATTTCTAGATTTTTCTTCTGATTTTAAAAGTTTAAATTTTGATTTAGCAACAGCTCCCATTAAACATTAATAGAAATGGTTATGTTGGTCTGGTTGGTCACCTACCACTTTGGCCCTTTCACAACACTAGGAAGGAAATGAATCCTACTGACTTGGTTAAATCCAGACTTTTCTCATAACGCCCATCCCAAAAATATTTGCCAGGAACCATTTGTATCCAATAGTAGTTCTAAGTAAAAATGTCTCAATGAAACCTTACTGTTGAGAATGGTGATTGTGAAGAACATAAAAATTGTAGCTAAACATCCTACAATGACGTGTTCATAAGGATGAAATTGTTGCCTCCGATGACTTGGACGTTTCATTTAGGAACCAACCAAATTTTAGACCCAGAGAAATGCTTTCGCAACATCGATGATTTAGCCATTTCTTCTTTTCTTTCCCCACACTTCCTGCTAAAAAACAGCCTCTATTTAAATAACGTTATTTCTAATACAAATTGTACATAGGTTTGCTTTGATCTGGCTGAAATTAATAGATACAGTCAAGCTACTGTGGCGTTTATCATCTCTCTGAAATCAACCCCCAACCCATCTCAAAACAAAAGACAATCCTCCAAAGTAACATCTGCCAATTAAACCTTTTTATTGGAACCCCCAGAGTCAGTGAAAGAAATATGACTGCAAACCCCCCCTGACTCTTTGCATATTCGTTGACGCATCCCGTCTTGTTGGACAACTATACCAACCTTTAACAACTTATACACATTATCTAAATACCTCCACCCTCTTCATTCCAGGCAGCCTAAATGATTGTAGCTAACTATTTACCTATTGATAAAAACGAGTTAATACCCAATCTCAGGAAGTTGACCACTATACAAATCTGAACTGTCCTGCATACAGAGTATAAAATGGCACATCCAATCACAGACTATAAATGAGCTGAAAGTTACATTTCTCTGTTAGCATTTGTCCTTTGTTGCAGTTCCCAAAATTTTCATTGCTTGGTTAGTCTTAGTGGCAGTCACAAAACTTATCTGTAGCTGAGTTACCAAAATATTCCTGGAGTTGTATTAAGCAGCGACAGCATTTACATGTGTTGGTAAAATTGACCAGGAGGACCGAAGGTTACATAAATGAAATTGCCACTAGAAAAAAAATAAAGAAAATTTTCCTGTCTAACAGATACCTAAAACCAATCATAACTATTGCTGTTATATGTTCAATTTTCATTTCCAGTACTAAATGTCCGACAATTCTTAGTCCCCTGAAAAACGATGCGAAACTGTTCCTTCTGTCCTATCGATGAGATATATTACTAAAAATAGCCCTTAGGCGAGAATTTGCTGAGAGAAGGAAAATATAATTCATTAAACTTGTAATCAAAATTAAAGAGCCTATTTTTGAAATAAGACTTGTAGTCAATCAATAACCATTAAATTAATGGCATATATGGAAAAGAAATAAAATAAAATTCAACCTTTAGCTTTAACACTCCTCTGACATTAATTAAATTTTGTCTTTTGTCTTCAAACCACTCTCATCCAGAAAATATAATAAATACAAACATGTTAAATGTAAAACATTCATGATATCTCCTAAGATGTCGCTGTGTACATATCTAACGGAAGCCGAGAACGGCCATGGATTTTTTTTTTTTTTTATGCACTGTTATATCGTGATAACGACTTATTATCTCGTTATCTCGATATAACAAAGATCGTTTTCTCGTGCATTGTAAAGTTTGTTTGTTCTTAAATGAGAACATGTTAATCAGCTTATTTGACTACTTATTCTGTTTCAGATTTTCAGTCTAGTAAGACACATTCCCTCTAGTTAGTACTTAATTTAATTTAATTTAATTTAGTACTGACACTTCACAAGGTGAGTATGAGAGAAAGCAGCGGTAGAACGTATTTATAGTATCAAATTTACTACAGTATTGTACTTTTTTGCTCCAATACATTTGTCTGACAACTTTAGTTTCTAGTTACTTTTCAGATTACATTAATACTGTCTAGTCCAGTTAAAAACAATGCATCTCCATATACTTTCAGTATATTGTATTGATAATACTTACATACTTTTACTCAGGACCAGTATGTAGGATTCAGTGGCATTTGGTGGTGAAGTTGTAGATTGGAATCATTTGAATACAGATCAGCCTCTCAAACATTGATGTGCTGACTCATGGCAGAAGGAGAGGGTTGCACTTGATGTCGAGTGGTGTCTTTACTTTGTTTCTGCAGTACAGATACCATTTATATAGAAAGACACAGGTATGACAGAGGGTAAGCCATTTGATTTAATAAACTAAAAAAACAACTAGACTAGTCACAGAGATTTTAAAACATACTAAGCAAAATCTTCTGGTCTCCTTTCAGCAAACTGAAGAATAGAGTTATTTTGGGTTTATGTGAACAATCTTTAGAAAGAAGGAGATTTCTTATTTGGACTGCCACATTCTATAAAGTATACTGCGCAATTCCAGTAGCACAATGTATCAAACTTTTCTGCTGACCATGAAAATACTTTATCTGAATGAGGACAGTTAGGCCGCCATAAAGATAAAGATAAGATGTTTCAGTCAGACTGACACAAGAGTGAGGTATGTGCTTTTTAAAAGAAAAAAAAAACAGTACAAACTTTAATCGGATTTATACTTGTCAACTGTAGTTAATCAATACATTGTGACATTCAGACCCACACACACACATTGCCTCAGGTGTGTATTCAGAACAAAGACATGTGAGGCGGTGGTTATACCTTTATAAGAACAGGAAAGAAGCAGTCACTCCCACAGTCCAAAAACAAGCACGGTTAATTAGTACAGCACAGTGAGGAGGCTTCACTCACACTACACAGTGTTTTGCTTTTGTTGTGCAACTACAACTGTCTCTCTCTCTGGGCAAGAAGACCCTCAGGCAAGGGAGGAGCTCAAATTGACACTGGTTTTACGGAGGTCTGTTGAATTTGATCAAACAGACATGGAGATGAAGGACTATCCAGCTGTGGAGTATTTTGTGCAGAGGAACGTTCTGGATGAGTTAGGTCTGGATGAAGTGGCACAAAAAGGGACGTGGTCCACTAAACCAACCCTGGGTGAACGGGTGAAGGAGTCCCTAAGGTAAAAATACGACCATAAATGAAAACATGCAGTAGAAACATGGCATATAGAGAGGATAGGACGCAGGGGAGGGGTGTGTGACAGGAACACTGAGCTAAACAAGGATAGAAACTAAAGAAAAGAATGTGTTTGGATGTGAATGCACTTTTCCTTACTGTGGATTACTGTGTGTAACTGCTCACTCAACCCATAAAGTGATTTGTGAATGAGTCATGAATAAGTTTGTGTGTACATGCAAATGTATGTGTGGATGCTTCTCTGGTTAACTGTTTTGTTTTGCTATCTCCAAGGAAAACTGTGATAATGGATGAGCAAAGTGCATAGTTTTATTGTCTAACATCTAGTGACATTTCAGCACAGACTTCACAAGACTCAATTTGTGCCCTCGATAGAACAAGTTGTTAAATCTAATATTTATCTAATAAAATATCTGATATGTTAATGCCATCTTTCTCACATTTTAATATTCAGTTCACTAACCCTCTAAACTGAGGTGAACAGCAGCATATTGACATGTTAGTGTTACT